TTTAAAATAATAAACAAATAAAACTGAACGTATATTTAATTAGGTTAAAAGTATTTAGTAGGAACATATTGTAGTTGATGGCTTGAAGTCACCATTTTCTTTAAAAACATTTCAGCAATCTGTAAAAAAAAAAAATTCTTAATTTTCTCGGTCGACAACAAGTTAACAACAACCTAATATAATCCAAAAAATGAGATTTGAAAAGAATTTAATATACACAATTATTTTCACTTTCGAGGTAGAAAAACCATTTACAAAAAAAGCTTGACTCGTAAAAAAAGATATAGCTATTTAGAAACGAATCAAATATTTTAAGGAAAAATAACTTAAATACACAACTATAAGTATTATATTCTCTAATTTTCCCTTCTTTTTTTAAATATTACATAATTTTTTTTTTAAATTTTAGTATAAGTGTATAGATACATAACATTCTCTCTCCTATAATACACAATTACCCATTTTAATGCCTATTTTTTCTCCATTAAAACACTCAACCTTTTAAATCAGTTTTTGGATTTTGAATTTTCTCCATTAAAACACTCAACCTTTTAAATCAGTTTTTGAATTTTGAATTATTAATTTTAATTAAAACACCCAATTTTGAATTTCAAAATTTAAAAAAACTGAAATTTTAAAAATCTGGACAATTTCTCTCCCGTTCAGTTCTTACTCCATCACGTTTTCAGTTCTTCTCTCCCGTTCAGTTCTTAGTCGATGCATTGATACATGAATTAGATGTGTATCATATGATTTCCTATGTATCAAGAGCTTTTGAAAATAGTTATCATGTATCAGTCAATAAGTTTAATAACTGCCCCATCAAGTGTGCTTGCTGATACATATCAACTCAGTGTGTTATAGTGTTTAGACGATGCACTGATACATGAATTTGATGTGTATCATATGATTTTCTATGTATCACGAGTTTTTGAAAATTGTTATCATGTATCAGTCAATAAGTTTAATAATTGGATGTTCATAAAAATGTCTTCAAACTAGATGATATAATCTTGAATTTTCAAAATTTGAAATTGTTATTCAATTACGTGTTGAATTAATGCTTATTAATGAACTGTTACCGTAATTTAAGCTGATTTAGATAACAAATTTAAATGTTCCATTTTTTCTCCCTTTTAATTTTAATAGTTTTAAGTTATTGTGTATCATTTACCATGTATCACAACATACTAATGTATCACGCCACAACAACTATAAATGATTATTAATAAATACTAAATTTGTCGGGACAAAATATAAGGTAGGGAGCAAGATCGATGAAGTCCAAATTGGATATGATAGAAACTATGTACTAGACAACAATAAGAAAATGAAACCAATGGCAATAGTTTATGACAAGAAATCAGGAAGAGTAATGAATATCCAAGCGACTGCGCCTTGTGTACATTTCTACACTGCAAATTGGATCATAAATGTAAAAGGGAAAGGTGGATTTGTATATCAGCTTCGTTTAGCATTGTTTTTGGAGACTCAAATGTACCCTGACACTGTAAATCATCCAAAGTTCCCTTCCACAATTGTGAATCCACGAAAAACTTATGCTCACTCTGTGTTGTATACTTTCTCCATCAAAAAATAGATTTGGCCCGTATCCTCTTGATAACATTGTCTACTTCAATTGATTTTTGTATCCAATTACGTGCTGAATTAATGCTTATTAATGAACCGTTACCGTAATTTAAGCTGATTTAGATAACAAATTTAAATGTTCCATTTTTTTCCCCTTTTAATCTTAACAGTTTTAAGTTACTGTGTATCATTTACCATATATCACAACATACTAATGTATCACGCCACAACAATTATAAGGAATTATTAGTATATACTAAATTTGTCGGGACAAAATATAATTATTGTATTACAGGGATTCCTTAAATTTATACATATTTTAATTTCTTATAACTTTGAATAATTTTACGACTCGGCCACGCCTAAATCCTAATCTTGTTTATATATATCCTACAACAATTTGGGCCATAAACCCGGCGTTACCTGCCCCAAGTTAGAAGATGAACTATCATAAAGCCCAATAGAAAAAGGCCTTCTTAAAAAACTCTGTGTTCTCTACCGTCTCCTCTTCGCCATCCGCAGCTCATTCTAGAACAGTCAGGTTTACCCGTTGCTCCTCTTCTCTGCATTTTGATCTGTTTACTCTTTACTTTTTTCTTCCGATCTGCATATTTAGGTTTTGTTATTCAATATTTTTGTTTATTTTGTACATATGGAGGATTTTTGGTGTTTCAGCTGGTTAATTTTGTATTAATTAGTATAAAAGTTGCACTTGCAGGTGATTTTGCAGAATCGAAGTCTTCGTCTCGAATATCTCTTTGCCATGTGAGTAACTGTTGATCTATTGATAATGAATCTATTCCCTCTTCATTAGTAATTTGATTTTAGTTTTACTTTTGATGTGATTTATTTGTCTCATTTAGTTTGTAAAATCGATTCACTCTACTAGTAAGTTACAAATAGTATGTAACTTGTGTTCTCCATACCATATGTCTTAAATAGTTTTTTCGATTCTAAACTGTGGGTGTGCGGGTTTTAGGTTGTTAAAAATTGAGATTGCAATAAAAATAATGCAGAAGACTTTGATCTGGGGCAATTAAAAAGATAACAAACTCGTCATCATTAGTTCATCTTTATTTTTCTAAAGAGCGAAGTGCTTGACTTAACCAACTTGTGGTTTGTTCTTGATTGGAACTATAAGTTGAGAGAAGTGAAGTTTTTCGGAAATTTAATAATATTATAAAATTTTGTGATTTTTTCCCATTGTTTATATAATATAGCAAAATCAACAGTTTGATTGTACTGATTCGTTGTTAGTTTTCCAATGTGCAAATACTTACCAGGTTAATACATTTATTTAAGGCTTTACTAGTGATCTAATATTCCTAAGTAAGAAAAACAACATACCCCGTGTAATCCCCTAAGTAGTGTAATCCCATGGGTGTTGTCTGGGAGGGTGATGTTTACACAACCTTATCAAAGCAAGTATATAAGGGAAATACAATAGCAAAAAAAGTCATGCTGAAAAACAATTAAGAAGAGAAAAAGTGACAACAACAATCAATATGATAACTCAAGCAAAGGAAATAACAATAATACCACAATTGAAAAATAAAATAGTAGGAAAGTAATAGGAACAATACGGATAAGGAAATTAGACAACGTTAGACCACCTACTTACCTTCTGCCCTTAATCTCATATCTTCCTATCTAGAGACATGTCATGTTCTTTGTAAGCAGTAGAAGTGCCAAGCCTAAGTAGATGGATGAATTATGTTCTCTGTCATGGCTGGAAATTGTTTAAGTAGAGAGTGAGTGTGAGTATCCATACCCGAACCTATCCTGTTATATTTGGATTGTTACTAGTTTTAGGACTTCACCATAGCCTTCAACAATTAGAAGCTTAACTTACTTTACCTTTAATCCTGCACCTCGCGTTCATGATATCTATTCAACCGTGCGTCAGAGACACGGTCGAAGCACGCCCGTCCAGTGTGCTTCTTTCACGACATTCTGTAGTATAACTATCAGCTTATACGTTGTGACTGTATTGACTAACCTGATGTTATCTGTAAATGTTAGAAGTCAATTCTTTTTCAAGTTTCCACTTTCAATATCAATGTCATCGGGGTAAAATCTCTCAACCATGGTAGCATGCTCCCATTTCTTTCTTGGCATAGAACTTAAAATTTCAACTTGTTCTAAACGCGTAGCCATTTATTTTTGAAAATGAAACATACTTAATAGATTTTTTAACAATATGCACAGAAGGGTGCCACAAACTCCAGCGCATCTGTATGTATGTATGTATGTATGTATACATATATCAGGAAATATGGTGCACTGCTACTTACTGAAAATACAACAAGTTCTACTTAATTTCATTTATTAAATAGAAGTGCTTTGAGATAATCCTTATCCTTCCTCTGATGCAACTGCTTATTTTTAAACGTATCCTTTCTTTGGTGCAACTTCATGTATTAAAAAATACTTTCATGTCTCAATTTTAATATTTTGGACACAGCTGCATATTATTCTATAGATATTATTATATTTATTGGTTTTTAGTGAAAAGCAACTTTTCTAGTGTACACTCCATGTTGAAGCTTCCGATAAATCTATTCTGTCAGAGTCTTCTTCTTCTTGGTGCTTTCCTGATAACTAGTGTCAGAAGAATCTTATATTATTCTTAGAGCCTGTTTGAATTGCTTAGTTGATGTGCTTCTAAGCGCTTTTGTTGTGTTTCAGTAAAATAGTCCGTCAGTTAGAATTCCTAAATTGTGATTTTTGGCTTATAAGACTAAGCCCAAACAAACAGGCTCTTAGACTAATCATTAAAATGATTTACAAATATTCAGCCGTTGTTAAAATGGCAGTTAGACTGCGTTTTGGTAATTAATGACAAGTGACAACTCAGTCACTACTGAATTTGTTTTGGTAAGATACGTGAAAAAGCTTGAATGCAAATTTGATTAGTCTACAATCCCCTAATACCACTTCTCTAGTTGTATCTGTAATTTTATATGGGCAAGTAATTTTTGAAGTATGCTTTACTCTTCAAGTTTTGGTGTATATTGTGATTTACATTCAGGATATTTTAATTTACACCCAAAAAAATAATTCTGCATGAAAGAAAAAAATACTTCTCTAGTTGTATCTGTAATTTTATATGGGTAAGTAATTTTTGAAGTATGCTTTACTCTTCAAGTTTTGGTGTATATTGTGATTTACATTCAGGATATTTTAATTTACACCCAAAAAAAGTAATTCTGCATGAAAGAAAAAAAATACTTGTAGGATAGTTTCTTCCAAGTTTGAGCTTTTGCTAATATTATCATCTCTTAGAAGATATATTGCTGATTTTTGTTTCTTGTTCAAGGTCGGACGAGGAAGTTGTTGACCCAAAGGCGACATTAGAAGTAAGTTGCAAGCCTAAGTGTGTAAGGCAACTAAAGGAGTATCAGGTGATTCCCAATGCAATGAAATAGCCTTTCAGATATTTCAAAAGCTTTTGGTTCTTATTTTAATTATTGGAACTATTACTTATCTCCTTTATTTTGGGTAGTGTGTAAGGCAACTAAAGGGGTATCAGTTGATTCCCAATGCAATGAAATAACCTTTCAGTTATTTCAAAAGCTTTTGGTTCTAATTTAATTATTGGAACTTTTATCTCCTTTATTTTGGGTGTTCAATACTTCCACTGATTAAACCAATATCAGGATGAGCTATGACATCGTTTATGTTAGTGAAAGGCTATTTCTTTTTTTGTAATTTTTAGCATCATCATACACTGTTTCATAGATGGGTATAGCAGTTGAATCTTCCTTTAGTTTGAGAATTCGAGACATTCTAGTGATAAGTGCCTTCAAATGGAACACAATGGTATGTTTCTTACCAATGCATCTGATCTTTTCCTACAGTTCAAAATTCAATGAAAAAAATTTGAAAATGAGAGATTTTCTGAAAAATTAGTAAAAAGTAGAATGAAAGACAATCCTATATTGACAAGGACAAACTTTTTTACAATTTAGTAATGCCCACACTCTTTCTTGTGTATCAAAGATCATCGAAATAAGCAACAAAACTATTTCAATAAAAAAATACTATTTACAAGGATTTCAATCAAGATACCTTAGCAAGATTCTAGTTCTTTCGTAAGTTCTTGTATTTAGTGTTGTGGGAATTTATCTCGTCGTCTTTTTGGGGTTGCTTTTTTCAATAAATACATTTCTTTACATAAGTTGTATTAGTAATCTGGGTTTATGGATGACTGCTCTTGGTATTGTTAGTCTAGCCTTAAACCATCGTTTATATAGAGACATCAACATAATGTTTTAGCTTGGTGGAAATGAATTCTTTTTCCTCAGGATCCTATTAGATAGAAACAAAGAACAAAATAACTAGAAAGGTTGTAAGAATACCCCTCTTCTAGATGGATCGTCTACAAAGCTATTCGTTTAAAGTGTATTCAGATCAAAAGCTCGAATGGCAAAAGAGGGAGGATTTGTGGCTTAGATCGTAGGTTCAAGCTCCACACCATGCAAAAGGAAGCCCCGTATTTAAGTGGTGAAGGGTAGAGTAATGATCATATGTCTGTAGTGCATTGTATGTCCCATGATAGGTCCCATTCTTCTTCTCTTCTCCAAACAAAGTCTATGATTATTCATATCTATGTTACCTTGATATCAAAGAAGAGTTCAATCAATCCTATGTTTCCATTCCAACCTTCCCATTTATCTGACTGTTGCTGAGCAGTTTATGGATATCACACGGACAGCCCCAGATGGTAAATTTTAATGTGGACAAATTTTCGTTGATCATGCGACACTCGGATTTGAACAGGGAGAAAAGGATTTGCAGTCCTCGCAGCTCTGGGCTCGCTGTCGTAAGTGGGCCTGTTTATGTCAACTACCCTCTAGGTTTTTTAAGTAGAAGACAACAAACTTATTAAATCTTTTTTTCTGCCTCAATTTTTTTTAATCAGTTCTTAGTTCACTTTTCCCTTTTCCCTTAAAACCATTTCTTCTGAACTAATTGAAATACACATAAATTTTTCCAAGTAAGAACCACAAAACCATTATTTTCCATAAATCAGACCTAAAACAATCCTCCCTAAAACATTGAAAACAAAGTGTTTTCTTACAAAAATACAAATCTGGAACTAAGTAAGTTAATACCTTTTCTATCTTTCATGAATCTAGTGTAGTTTCATATTTTATTTCTTCTGTACTGTAATTATGATCTTCACAAGAACTCAGAGTGGCACAAAAATGTCTTGCATTATGTTATGTTATGTTAGACCTGAAAATTTTATATTTGGAAAATATCAAATATTATGAACATAATATGTACTGATTCCAGGACCTACTACTCTAAGTATGTACTGATTCCAGGATCTACTTCAAATCAATTAAAATAGCAGGTCAAGAGAATTTTCTTTGCATGTTACTCTGATGGGATGAACCAATATAGGGACTTCATCTGTGATTATTTGGTCTCTCTAAGAAGCCCCCCAAAAAAACATGTTTCTGGCCTCCAAATACTTCTCGCTCTTTAGATTAGGCACTCTAGATTTCAGCTGGTTAGCGGTTGCTGGTATTTGTATGATTTTTTGTTTCTTTGTTTTGTGTGTAGCATGTTCTTAGATCCAAGAGGAATTGCAAGACATCAATCAGATTTTCTCTTCAACCTTGCCTTTTATTCTGTTTGATTGCTTTCTATGGGGTCCTTTTGTTGTTTGTATCGCCAACAGTTTGCTGTAAGAGTTTTTGATGATGAGGAGTGTTACTTCAAGGTTTTCTTTCTCCAAGACTCTGATTTCTAATATAATTTTGATGCCATTAAACGTTTTCCAATTTATTTTTTATTTTTCTACTTGTTCTTCATATACTACCTCTGCAAACATCTTTGTAACCAACTTAATTATTTGTGCAACGAATGTGCTTTGGTTGGGGAGTCTGAGTTTCTAACTTTTGGAAGGATTTTGGTCTCTCTTTCTGCGAGAAGTGAAAGATTTTTTTTTTTGGAAGGATTCCAGAACAATGATGTCTCGTTTAGTTGTGCTAACTGTGCACCTCATATAACAATACAGTAACATATTTGATCTTCAGAACAATTGCGCATGATCTGTTTTTTTTTTTAATTTTAACTAATGGATGTGGAAGTATTGCACCTTAGAATGAAGGTGATATTCCTTCACTAACCTCCCTGGGAAGTATATATTACTTTCATCAAGATATACATGTATATTTTGTGTTTTTGTTTTGTCCGGCAGAGGGGACTTCATTTGTGGATTAAGTTTGATGGATATTTAGTCCACGAGGTGTATCATTTTCTATCTTGAAAAACACATTAAGTGTTAGTTAGGGTTGGTTATTTATCGGGTGCACATCGTTCCCACTGCTCTATGATGGTTAACTGTTGACCTGCTTTATTTATTGATCTGACAATTCTTTTTGGCAAATGTCACATTAATGTTTATTAAACAGGACAAGATTACTTGCACTTTGTCATTAGTTGCAGTCCCAAAAACTTTTAACTTGCAATATTTGATTATTTTCATCTTTCTGTTTGTCATATCCCCCTTCTTTCCCTTTTTCCTGTCTTTTGGCGGGGTGGGGGTGGATAATGAATTTCTGAAGAAGGCCAGCTTTGTTGCTTCAAAATTAGTAGTGGTTTTCTTACTTTATGGGTCTCATTCTGCATCCTACAGGCATGTACTAAAAGGATAGAAGGTGATGAATCAGGGCACAAACATTGCACTGGACAGTATTTTGATTATTGGCACTGCATCGACAAATGTGTAAGCTCCCTTTTCCGGTTGTTTGGCATTTTTGTGTTGGGGTTTTCAGGGTGTGCTGCCTCTTGATTCTTTTCTCCGTTGTTGTCGTTTGTTGTTTTCTTACCTTTTCGTGGAACTGTTTGCACAGGTTGCTGCGAAGTTGTTTGACCATCTCAAGTAACAAGGATATAAGTTGTTGATCCCTTGCAATTTATCTTCTTTTTGGTTGTTGAACAAGTCATTACCATATTATTCCTCACTGTGCTGAAGACTTGTAACCCTTTCAATCAACTTGGTTGCTGCATGGAAAATTTTGAACTATGCACATCTTAAAAAGTGATTAATAAATCATACTCGTGGGTTGAATTGGACCCTTTTATTCGTTCGAATTATTGAGAATCTCCTGGATGTTATTCCCTGATGGCTTCATGGGGGAAAACGTCTCGTCTTGTGCTCACTGAATCCTGCGCATATATTGATAAATGAGTTGCTTTGAGTAGACAGAAGTGCAAATGCAGTCAGCTGCTTGTTCTGTCCACTGTATTTGTGCGTTTTTGTTTGCACTTTACTCGTTATACCGTATGTTCCTTCTTATTTGGTCGATGGAGAGGTAACAAGTATCGAGTGAAATGATTATATTCTCACTATGCTGCGGGAGGGGTAATAGCCATTAGAGATGAAGACAGAGGAGACGTCTTATCCAAAATGAATCGGTTGTCTTGTCTCAAAAATGGCTAAAAATATGGTCATGCAAATAGAAAGTTTAGCCTACGTATTTACTTTATTGATGTTGGGAAGGAAAATATTCAAGTAATGGTTGAAAAGTGCAAATTGATAGGAAGTACATAAAACGGCCTAAGAAGTACCAAATTTTCAATGGACATCACCACCTTACCCTCACATGATAGGCTTTCAAATGCAATTGTGGCAAATCAATAAATTAAATTGTTTAATCTCTAATTGATAGAATAATTTTAATCTTTGGACTATTGATGTAATTTAACATCGTTAGGACAATGCAAATGATTTTAGAACGAGTGAGCCTACATTTTAACAATCCGAATATGGGCACTATTGTCTTTCATATCATGCTTTCTACTTTGGATATCACACTTTTTACTTTGGAGATGGACTGATAACAACTACAATAGTCATCAATCTGGTCTTTTAATATCCGGTAAAGGATTAATTTCACAATGATATCGTAACGTGTTCTTGATTATTTTAACCCCATATAATAAGAAGTTCTGAAAAAACTAGTTCTAGAAAATTCGTTAGACGCGCAGGTCTTGTTGCTCATCGGGCATAAATTAGTTTTTACTTTTTACTATTAAATATAATTTTATTATATTTGAAGACAACGAAATTAAATATATCACAAGTTGTACCTCCCAGACAAAAGTTAATACATATAGATGAAACTTTTCTTGTCCATCAAAGTTCCTTAACTTTTCTTTTTCCTACAAGTCAAAAATTTAAAATATTTTGAGATAGTGAACGTACTCGATTGACCATAAATTCGACTTTATAGGCAACACAAATTTTTTCTTGCAATTTATTTTCAACTTAAAATTATATTTTTAAGAATTATCGAAAATACACAAAATTGGACACTTTTACATGACCGGATTGGTTTGGGTTTTTCAAATATTAAATCAAATTATTTGTGTCGGATTTTTGAATTTACAAACCAAATCAAAGCAATAAAACTCGAGGTTTTCAACTTCGGATTTTTTCAGTAAAGTATTCATACAAACATATAATTTACTTGTACTTTAAATATTTCTTTATTTCTACTAAAATGCAACTATCTAAGTTATTTCTCAAGAAAATAACACAAAATATTATATGATTAATGACACTAAAATATCCAACAAAAAAATAAATAATAAAATCGCGTAAAACAATATTGCAAATTAATAAGTCATAATGAAATTGATTATAATTTAAAGTACTAAATCATGCTAAAAATAAGTTTAGTAAGTACTAGTTACATGATTAAATATTAAAAGAAAGTAAAATTAGATCATGTATTTTAATTGTCTAAATCTATGTATAACTAAAAAATAAATATTCAATATTATTGTCATTCTTAGTGTTGAATTGATTTTCTTTTTGTATTAGTATTAATTTGATTTTTATTTAAACTTTATTATATTTACCAACATGTATGGACTATAATCTTTATTAGATCATTAAGAATTTTAACTTCCAAACATGAAATAAATATATTAAAAGATTAAAACTATGTAAAAGCATAAGAGATAATTTAAAAATTATATCAAAGTAGTTATTTTACGTATAAAATAAAAATTTTAAAATTATATATATAATGTCGGGTTGGTTTGGTCCCGGGTTGTGTTTCTTTTAGCTGAAATCAAACCAACCCAAATATAATCGATTTTTTTCAACACTAAATCACTAGTCAATTTTTTTTTAAAGATTTGACTCAATTTACAATTCGATTCGATTTTGTACAACCTACTCCATACCTCATTGAAAAATTACATAAATTAATATATTTTAAAAAATAGTTACTGATTTTAGCGATATTTTTTGTTTATTACTATTTATAACAATATTGTGATAAATCTGTAATATGTATTAAAAATGAATTATGTATGCAATATATTTGAATTATAATTATTTTTGAAATATATTGTGTTTGTTTGGTAAAAATTATCATATTGTATTATAAATATATTAAAATATGTGATAAATGTATTATTTATTATTATAACTTGTTTTATAAATAAACTAAAAATAATCAAATAAAAAAATATTATTATTAATATAAATGATAAATATTTTTTTATTATCATATATGTACATAAGTTTTCTACTTCCTTTAATGGGTAAAGCTAGAAGACCAATTCAAAAAGCCCAATAAAAAAGCCTTTTTAATTTAACTCTCTCTCTCTTCTGTCTTCTCTTCACCATTCGCACCTCATTCAGAGAAAAGTCAGGTTGCTCCTCTTCTACGCATTTGATCTGCTTCCTCTTTATGTGTTCATTCGATCTGCATAATATTAGGTTTTGCTATTTTATCTTGTTTTGTTGCATTCGCACACATGGAGAATTGTGTTTTTTTTGCTTGATAGCTGGTTAATTTTGTATTGATTAGTGTAAAAATTGCATTTGCTGGTGAATTCGTAGAATCAATGTCTTCGTATCCAAAATTGATTAGTGTAAAAATTGCATTTGCAGGTTTTTTTGTAGAATCAAAGTCTTCGTATCCAATATCTCGTTGCCATGTGAGTACTGTTGATCTATTTATAATGAAACTATTCTCTCTTTATTAAAGTAATTAAATTTTGATGTGATTTATGTGTTTCGTTTCGTTTGTATAATCCATTTATTCTAATAGGATTTCACTGTTTATGAGTAATTTATTCTCCTTACCATATATGTGAGTGATTTTTAAATAGTTTTTCAATTATACACTGTAGAAATTGAGATTCCCTAAATAGTTTATATAGAATTTTGATCTGGAACAGTAAAAAAATAGAAATAAAATCGTCATCTTTATTTTGTCCAAGAGCAAAGTGTTAGTTGGACCCTCTATGTTGAGAGAAATGAAGTTGATGGAAATTCTATCTAGAACAGTAAAAAAACACAAATAGAATGGTCATCTTTATTCTGTCAAAGAGCAAAGTGTTAGTTGGACCTCTATGTTGAGAGAAATGAAGTTGCTGGAAATCCTATTGTAATATTATTATTTTTTTGTGATTTTTCCCATTGTTTATATAATGTAGAAAAATAGCAGTTCAATTATGCTTGCAGCCACCAAAAAGAGAGGAAAAAATAGTTTGATTTTACTCAAAATGTTTTTGCTTTCTAATGTGCAAAGAATTACCATTTTTTGTATGTCTGTTTAAAAAGTATTGACTAGTGAGCTAATATTCCGAAGTAGAAGGATGAATTATGTATCTCTTCAAGAAGCAGTACGTCATTTATTGAAATACCTTCATTGGATTTGATTGGAGAGTGGGTGCGAGTGTCCTAGTACCAATTTATCCTGTTATTTTGGATTCGGTTAATAAAGTCCAACATCAATGTCATGGGACTAAAGTCTTCAACCATGTTAGCTTGCTATCGTCTATTTCTTTTGTTGCATAAAACATTTTAAAATTTCAATTCTCTAGATCTTAGACATTTATCTTTAAAAATGAAAAATACGTGGAAGTTCCTTAAATAATATGCACAGACTTCAAGTGTGCCACAGATTCCAACAGATATATATGTATTTATGCGCATATCAGGCAATTAGCATGTATATGGCGCTATGCTGAGCAAATGCACACTTACCGAACTTCTACAGATACTACTTGATTTCATGTGTTAATCAGAAGTGCTTTGAGCCTTTGACATAATCCTTATCCTCCCTCTGATGCAACAGCTAATTATTTTTACCTTATTCATTCATTGGTGTAACTTCATGTATTAAAGATTACTTTCATGTGTCAATTCTAATAATTTGTACGCAACTATATATTCTACCCTATTTGATTGGTTTACAACTCTATCCATTTATTAGCCGTAGTGGATAGTATTATATTGCTTTTAGTGTGAAGTAAAGTTTTGGAGTGTACATTCCGTGTTGAAACCTTCCATAAATGCTCTGTCAAAGGCTCAACTTCTTTGTGATTGATTTTTTAAAAATTTGTTTTATGCACAAGTATTTGCTTGTGATATACCATGTTCTCAGTGTGTTTGTTGATGTAACTAGTTGGCGA